TTATTCACCAGAAATCGTATTATCAGATTGAATTTTTAATTATAACAACACCCAAGAAATTAAAAGATGAATTGCATTGGGAAAGTCTGCTGTCAGAGAACTCTCCAAAGTACGGAAAAGCAACGATGTCAGTCTGGAGACTGAGGTGCATCTGATATAGGCTTTGCAATTACTTGCTATGCATCAGAGAGCTGGACAATGACTAGGGATGATAGAAGGAGAGTTGATGCCTTTGAGCTTCAGGGCCAGAGAAGAGTATTGAATATACCATGGACTTCTAGGAGAACAAACAAGTTAGTCCTGGAAAGGGTAAAGCCAGGCTGCTCCTTGGAGGCAAGGATTGATTCTGAAGCTTCATCTGACATCTTTCTACATGTTGCAAGGCAGGATCAGTTCTTGGAGAATGACATCATGTTTAGGAGGGTGGAGGGACCACTCAGGAGAGGAAAACCCTCAATGAGATGGATTGATTCTGTCACTGGGGTAATGGGGACAGGTGTGTCGGAGACATTGAGATTGGCAATGGATAGAGCAGGTTTTAGGGCTATTGTACATAGGGTTGCTATGATTTGCAGGTAACTCAAAGTCACATAACAATTAACAACATGTACACTATGTATTGAAAAATATATGGTATTGTTGTATTGCTAACACAATAAAAGAACTGTGACCATGCTTAGAAAATTCATAACAAAGTTGAATGAACTTGAATGTGTTTATTTTTTCCTTTTTCTCTCTGTCTTCTCACCTTTTAACTGATGTTATAATCAAAAAGATTAGCTCCAAAAATGTTTTGAAGCTAAAGAATTAATCAGAGGGATTTAGAGCAACACTTCTTTATCTACTGTTGTTTTTTATGTGCCCTTGATTCACTCTATGCACAACAGAGCTGAGCTCTGCCTTTTCCTGAGTCAATTTCACTATCCCCCACATACCCAAGCCTATTACCCTAGTCACTATGTCAATTCATTTCATCCAGAGTCTTCCTCTCTTGTGCTATCCCTCCACTCTTTCAAGCATCATGTCTTCCTCCAAAAACTGGTCCTTCCATGCCCAAAGTAATTAAGAAAGAGCTTCAAAATCCTTGACTCCAAAATGCAACTTGGTTTCACTCTCTCCAGGACATACCTGCTTGCTCTCTTGGAAGTCCATGGTATGTTCAGTACTCTTCTCTAGAAGCACAACACAACAGCATCAATTCTGCTTCTTTCATCCTTATTCACTGCAATAATCATGACCTGTATCAGGTGCACCTTAGTCTCCACACTGACATCACTGTTCTTCAGCACTCTGGAGAGATCCTTACTAGCTACTAGCAGATTTTCCTAATGCAATTCTTCTTTTGATTTTCTGACTGATGATTTTATTTCCTGAGTGTTGATTGTGGAAACTGAAATTGTTTATGATCTCAATCTCTTCTCAATCTATCATGGAGAATTGGTCCAATTGGTCCAGTGGTGAGAGTCTTTGATTTCTTAATTTTGAGCTTCAATCCATATTGAAGACTACAGACTTAGACCTTTTGTAGCAAACACTTCAGGTCCTCTTCAGTTTTGGCGAGCAAGATTGTGTCATCTGCATATCACTGGTTGTTGATGAGTCTTCCTCCAATCCTGGAACCATGTTCCTCCTCATCAAGTCCAGTCTCCCCATCATCTGTTCTGCATATAGATTGAGAAGGTGTAGGGACAGGATGCATCCCTGATGCACCCCTTTCCTGATGTTGAACCATACAGTGTTTCCTTGTTCTTTCTGATGACTTCTTCCTGGTTCAAGTATAGGATTCACATGAGCACTATTAAGTGTTCTGGAATTCTCATTCTTCTCAAGGTTAACCACAAGAAGTTATTTAGAAGCCCCTACCTTGTCTTCTCTGATTCACCCACATGACCCTCCACATTCCTTTTCTACCATGGGAAGTAGGAAAGTTTTATTTATAATTGTCACCTGGAAGTCTTTGGTGAATCAGTGCTAAGTTATAATAGTGTTGTCTCTTGATTAAAAATAATTACTGAATGTCTGGCATCAAAATACCTCATCCTTGATGATTGCTAATACATTTAAAGACCATGGTTTTTATACAGCAAAAACAACCATTTCCTCTAGAGAGACATAATAGAGAATATATTACCCTTTACATGGAGTGTATCATCACAAAAAGCCACTAATGTGAAGTCCTATATGATGGCAGAGGGATTGGACTTGGTGAGTATCTCTTTTTCAGAATTTCTTCCTAGCAAGTTTAACTATATACATTAGTGAGAAAGAATCTATTCTTATTAGACAATTATTTTTTGATGGTTTAGTCCTGTATAAAATGATGAGAACTGGATCTTTCAGCCTCTTTTAAATCTAAGTAATAATAGAAAAGGCTTAGACAATAACTCAGATAAGACAGTTGATTAGAAACTTAGCAAAATAATTAATTTGAACACTAAATTAAAGATAATAAATCACATTGAAGATATATTTTTAAATTTTTAAATCATTTTATAACTAATTTAATTATGGTAATATATACTACTCTATCAAAGAAATGTTTTAAGATATATAAAAGATATAATAAAAATATAGACATCAAGCTGAGGCTAAAAATGTACTACTTTATCCATTCCATTATGTAAAATAAAAAATAAAGAAATTAATAAGAAAACATATACTAAGGACAATTAAAGAGAGAGATGGGTTGGAGAATATGGAGATAATTTTTACTCTAACCTAAAGACGTCAGAATTTGTAAAGTTGAATGAGTGTCAGTCATCTAGCAGTGACCTCAATGATAGGAGGGAATCAAACAGATTCTGTAGAAACATTATTCTAAGTACAGAGAATAGCATATGTAGCCTGCTGAGCCCTGAAGTATTTAAGAAACAACGAGGTTTTCATGGAGAAGTGTAGCCAGGAGTACATAAGGTCCGAAAGAAATACGCTTTCAAATACTGGTAAGGAAGCTGAGTATTTTGAAGTTTTCTTTCTGTGCTATAAGAATACATAATATTTTTATAAATAGAAGAGTTCTATGAGATACTTTGTAATCAAGTTGACAGCACACACTAATGCCAAATTGCTTTATAATTTAGCAGGGTCTCAGTCCTTTAAGCAAAACAAAACAGATGTTGTAGAAGGCAGTATAGGTGCAGAGTAGACCGTTTGGAGTCAACTGAAGGATCCACGAAAAAGAGAATGATGCCTGAGTGGTTTGTTGTTGTTGTTGTTGTTGTTTTTATGTGCCGTCGAGTCGCTTGTGACTCATAACAACCCTATGTACAACAGCCCTAAACTCTGCTCTATCCTGTGCCAATTGCACTGTCTCTGACACACCCATCCCGATTACCCCAGTCACTGAATCAGTCCACCTCATAGAGGGCCTTCCCCTCCTGAGTGGTAGTGGTAGTGGCAGTTTTAACCAAGTGCCTGTCTGAGCAATAGCCTCTCCTAGCAATATGCCCACAGTAGGAGAGACAAATCTTTGCCATGTTGGCCATGAAGAAGCATTCTAGCTTCACTTTTTCCAAAATATAGTTATTCTTTTGTCAATCCATGAAATATTCAGTACTCTTCTCCAACACCACAACTCAAAAGCATCAGTTTTTCTTCTGTCTTCCTTATTCATTGTCCAACTATCAGATGCATAACAACTGAGTTAAAAAAACATGGCCTGAATCAAGCGCACCTTAATCTTCAAATTGATATCATTACTTTTTAGTATTTTAGAGAAGTCCCTGACAGAGGACTTGCACAATGCAATACATATCCTGATCTCCTGACTGCTGGTACCAAGAGTATTGATTGTTGATTCAAATAACATGACCTCAATCCTTTCTCTGTGTATGACATATGGGCCCAGTTGTGAGGACCTTTGATTTCTTGATGCTGGAATATAATCCATACTTAAACCTGAAGTGTTTGATCTTCTACAGCAAGCATTTCAAGACTTCCTCACTTTCAGCAAAGAAGGTTGTGTTGTCTGCATAACACTGGTGTTCTACTAGTAAAGAAACACTGCTAAGCCAAAGGCACATAGTTTGAGCTAACCAGATGCTGCAAGAGCAAAGGAAGGGCATTCTCCTCCTGTGCCATTTACAGTCTAAAACCCAACAGGGCTTCAGCTATGAGTTGGTTCTGACTCTATTGTACATAACAAACACTTAAAGGTTACAATTCAGATCTGATGAAAATGACATAGAAAAGTTCTTTTAAGAAATAATTCCTTCCTAAATTGGCTATAATTTGAAGTGAGTAAAAAAGCAGCAAAATGTTTCTTAATGTCAAGTATATTTAGCTACTAAATGAAAATACAAATAGCAAATCTTACAAAGCTTAACTTATATATAATCATAATTAAACTTGATAGCAATATAATTATCAACCAAATTAAGAGAAATGATACTGTGACATGTGTCTGATATGACAAAATACAAATACTGTTTTATAACAAAACCAATACTTTTTTAAAGAAATGTTTTCCAACTTGCTATCTTTAAATCCTTTCTGATACAACCACGTAACAGTATTTTGTTATTGCCCCACTAGAATTCAGTATTGACCCTCTAAGAGTAAAAAATGCTCTATTATAGGGAGCTCTAGTGGCCTAGTGGCAAGAAGCTGCTCTGCAATTCTAGATTATTTGGTTCAAATCCACCAGATGTTCTGGAGAAGGAGGGGCAATCTCTTCCTGTACCAGTCAGATCCAATTTTATGGTACACACACAAAAAATAAATAAAATAAATTTTAAAAAAATAAAAATGCTGTTATTATCTCACATGAGATGATTTATAGCATTATATTGTCTCTCCCCCCGACCCCCTTCTTCTTCTTCTAGGGTCTCTTTTTTTTTCCAGCTTGGTATCTTTACTTCAGGTAACTAATCATGAAAACTGGACTTTTCCTGGGGACCATTTTCCTCTTCCTCACTGGAACTGGTGTACTTGGAAATTCTTTTCTCCTTTTTGTACCTGTCTTTATTCTCTTCACTTGCCGGCAGCCCATTCTTATACACATGATCCTTGCTCAGTTAGCATTAACAAATATCATGCTCCTCCTCTGCAGGGGAATACCTTTAGTGATTCTGCATTGGAAAAACAAATACTTCCTGGATGAGGTAGGATGTAAAATTGTCTTTTACATTCAAAGAATCGGACGTAGCATGTCGGTCTGTAGCACCTGCCTGCTCAGTGGCTGCCAAGCCATCATCATCAACTCTCACTCTGCCACGTGGGCAAATTTCAAGCGCAATACCCCCAAGTACAGCACAATCTACTCTGTTTCTTGTTGGTTACTCAATATAGTCACACATGTTACTGTTATTACAAATATAACAGGACCTATGAACCAAATAAACATCACAAATGGAATTGATCTAAGGTATTGCTATTGGAGAGAAGATTTGGGTTATTCAATAATTTTATCTACTGTTGAAGATGTCTTTTTTGTAAATCTCATGATCTTCTGCTGTGCATACATGTTACATTTTCTACACAGGCACCACCGGCATATCCAGTACATTCATAAGACCAACATCTCTCCCAGGATAACTCCTGAGATGAAAATTACTAGAAGAATTGTGCTGTTAATGATCACGTTTTTCTCATTTTATTCTATCAATGGCATCCTTACATTGTATTCAAAGTATTTTCTTCATGCTAATATCTGGCTCTTGGAGATAACTGCCTTCATGGCATTTTGTTTCCCAACCATTGGCCCCTTTTTGCTGATAACAAGTAGTAATCCTATCTTCAGATAGCTTACTAAATAATCTTTAGTGGCATAAAATAACTGTCACAATGAATACAGACACTTCTAATAGTAAAGATATTTTGTTATTCTAACTTAAGGTAAAATTTTAAAAATGTTATTCTAACTTAAGGTAAAATTTTAAAAATAAAACAAGGTAAAATTTTTGAATGATTATGGTTCTATCTGCTGTACAACATTAAAATATAAAAAGCAATTGAGCATTTCAATAAATATTTCATTGAATCTTAACAAATAAAGTTGACCAACTATCAAATATATATATTAAACATGGTATGCCATAATATATTTTAAATTTATTCCATAATCTTAGAAAATTGTAGAAAGCAAATAAAAACAATGTTTTAGTCCTTATTGAACCAGTAAAGGGACTAGTATTTCAACAACTAGTGCCAATAAAACAAATCCATCAAAGAGGTATCATCAAATGTAAGAGAATAGATGCAAAAATTTCTATTTAGTAAGAAGTTAATGAAATCTAATTGATCAATGAATAATATTTCTGAAATTACCAAGCTGGAATAGTTTTTTATATTACTCTAAATTGTCATTATTGCAAAACAATGAATTGGTAAAAGATATATTGTTGTTATTGCTGTTGTTGTGTGCCTTCAAGTCAAGTACAACTCATAACGACCCTATGAACAAAATAGCTGAAACCCGTCCTGTCCTGAGCCATCATCACACTTGCTGACACACAAAAGCCCATTGCAGCAGTCACCATTGTCAATCCACCTGGCTAAAGGTCTTCTTCTCCTTTGCCGAACCGCCACCATTCCCAACATCATGTCTCTCTCCAAGGAATAGCACCTCCTAGCAATAGGTCCAAAGTATGTTAGTGAAGCCTCATCATTCTTGCTTCCAAATAGCACTCTTGCTACACCCTCTCTAATACATATCTATTTGTTTTCTTGGACGTCCATGGAATGTTCAGTGCTATTCCCCAACACCACAGTTCAAAGGTGTCAATTCTTCTTCTATCATCCTTATTCATTGTCCAGGTAGTAATCGGAAAGACCATGGCCTAAATCAGATGCACCTTAGTCCTCAAACTGATATCATTACTCCTCAATAATTTAGAAAGATCTCTATTAGCAGATTAGTTCCTTCAGTATTTTTTCATAAACTATAATTTTTGAGCAATAATTAAATGCATTTTTACATACTTTATTAAGACTATCAAATGATCATGAACACTTATTTCCAAGGCATTTTAAAAATTAGAGCTGTTTTCAATCAGTAATTGTTATTGTTGTTGTTGCTGTTGTTGTTGTTATTATGTGCCATTGGATGCACTATGACTCATAGCAAACTTATAAGCAACTGTTCTGAGCCCTACCCTATTTTGAGCACTTACTGTCTCTGACACACCTGCCCCCATTACCCAAGTCACTGAATCAATCCACCTCATAGAGGGTCTTCCTCTCCTGCGCTGTCCCTCCACACTCCCAAGCAGGATGTCCTTTTCCAAGGACTGATCCCTCCTTGCAACATGTCCAAACTATGTCAGACGAAGCTTCAGAATCTTTGCTTCGAAGGAGCAGCCTGGTTTAGCCCTGTCCAGGATGAATCTGTTTGTTTTCTTAACAGTCCGTGGTATATTCAATGCTCTTCTCCAACACCACAGCTCAAAGGCATCAATTCTCCTTCTATCATGCCTAGTCATTGGCCAGCTCTCTGATGAATACATAGCACATGAATGCAAAGATCATGGCCTGTATCAGGCACACCTTAGTCAGCAGAGTGACACCATTGCTTTTCAGTATTTTGGAGAGTTTCCTAACAGCAGACTTCCCCATCACAATATGTCTTTTAATTTCCTGGCTACTGGTGCCAAGAGTGTTGACTGTGGAGCCAAGCAAACTAAAGCTGCGAACAATCTCAATCTCTTCACCATCCATCCTGATGCTGCCAATTGGCCCAGTGGTGAGAATCTTTTTCTTCTTGTTATTGAGCATCAATCCAAATTGAAGGCTACAGTCCTTGACCCTCTGCAGCAAGCGCTTCAGGTCCTCCTCAGTTTCATCAAGCAGGGTTGTATCATCTGTATAATGCAGATTGTCAATGAATCTTCCACCAATATTGATAGTGGAACAATACAGCCCAGGCTCCTAGATAGTCTGTTCTGCATATGGGTTGAAAAGGTATGGAGATAGGACACATCCCTGGCATACATCCTTCCCAATTTTGAACCATACAGTGTTTCCTTGCTCTCTTCTGACAACTGCCTCCTGGTCCAAGTATAGGTTTTGCATTAGCACCATCAAATGTTCTGGGATTCCCATTTTTCTCAGAGTTAGCCACAGTTTGTTGTGATCCATACAATCAAATGCCTTTGCATAATCAATGAAACACAGACATTCCTCTGTACTCCCTGCTTTCAGCCAAGATCCACCTAACATTAGCTACAATATCCCTAGTACTAGGAATATGTTCCACATACAGACTGAAAAAATATGGAGAAAGTACACACCACTGAACCACTCCTTTATTTTGAATCTCATAATGTTAGTCATAATTTGTTATTATCCACCAAATGCCTTTGCATAGTCAATAAAACACAATTGTATATCATCAAAACAAGCTTTCTAAGACATCAATTTCATACAACAATGGACTATATGAAGAAGAATGTGGCATCAAGATGCAGGAAGATTCATCAATATTTCTAACTCAGATACACAAACTTGTGAAAAGAACTGGAATCAATTACCAAATAAGATGACATTCTTCAGTGAGGATGATATTGCAACATAAAGAAAACAAAAATTCTCATAACTGAACCAATAAATAAATAAATCATATTTACAAGTAAAAATTGAATTTGACAAGGATTTTATTTCATGTGGATTCACAAACAACATTTACAGAAGCAATGGTAGGGGTTGGGGTATGAAGGAATGGGAAAGGTTCAAAAGGGACTTGAAAAAGTAGAGTGATAATAGGCATGAGCAATGGTAATTATATAAAATATAATTTATACAACTGATTTTATAAAACACAAGATACATGAATGAAACACAATGTATATGAATTAATGTAAAAACCACAAAGTATGTGTACAAAACATGATGCACATGAATGGTTATATGCTGCTATTGCTGTTGTTACATGCTGTCGAGTCGAGTATGACTCATAGCAACCCTCTGAGCAAAAGATCTGATCCATGTTCTACAACTATCATCATTCCTCTGGTGTTTATAGGATTTTCAAAGGCCTGTTATTTAAGAAGTGGGTACCAATCCTGCTTCCAAGTCTGTCTTAATCTGGGAGCTCTACCAAACCCTGTCTACCATAGGTAACACGGCATCTGACACACCAGTAGCACAGCTTTCAGCATCATAGCAGCTGCAATTTATCTTAGTAAAGCAAACTTACAAGTGCTATACCACTTAGAACAATGTTCTCCCCAAACACTATTAACACCTGGCTTTCAATTAAATCAAAACAACCTACCCTCAAGAATCCAATTGCTCCACACTGGAGCCTCCAAACTGGAGACTTAGTCAAGGCCCAATCAACTTTTAAATACAAAGGCCCGCCCTCCAGGTCCTAATTGATTTAAACAGGAGGCTTCCAGCCTACAGCTGACTGAATTGGTCAATTAGTTTTCTTGCTAAATCTTGAGGATTTTCTGAGTATACTATCATATCATCTGCATTTAGAGGTAGTTTTAACTCTTATTTGCCAATTTGAATACTTCTTATTTCCCTCTCTTGTCTTATTGCTCTCACTCTAAACATCCAATACAATACTGAATAAGAGTGATAGTGGCCATCCTTGTCTAATTTCTGTTCTCAGGGGAAATGTCTTTAATTTCTCACCATTGAGGATGATGTTGTTTATTGGTTTTGTATATATACTTTTCACTATGTCAAGGAAATTCTCTTCTATTCCTATGTTGTTAAGTGTTTTAATCAGGAAGAGGTGTTGGATTTTGTAAAAGACCTTTTCTACATCAATTGATAGGATCATGTGGTTCTTGTTCTTTGCTTCATTAATCTGATTAATTACATGAATTGTTTTTCTTATGTTGAACCATCCTTGCATGTTGTTATTGTTGTTATGTGCCGTCGAGTCGTTTCGGACTCATAGCGACCCTATGCACAACCGCCCTAA